CCGCCCATTTCACCCAAGAATCTTCTCTCAGCACCAGGGGGCTGCATGTGAAGCTGGGAAGGCTCATGCCACCCCCCTACAGGAGGGCTTGAGACAGTCGTTCCAGTGGTGTTTCTGTTACCAGCAAAAGGGCTCTTTTCAGTTATCTGAGTCTTTCTGGGGCGTCGCGAGGCCTGCCTGCTTCAGCCATACTTTTCTTTTTTTTTTTATTTATTTTGAGAGAGACGGAGAGAGAGTACAAGTTGGGTAGGGGCAGAGAGAATCGCAAGTAGGCTTTGCACTGTCAGTGTAGAGCCTGATGAGGGGCTCGAACTCACGAACCGCGAGATCGTGACCTGAGCCGAAGTCAGATGCTTAACCCACTGAGCCGCCACCAAGGTGCCCCTCAGCTATACTTTTAGGAGGCACAAAAGAACAACAGAATCCAGCAATTATGTGCCCCTGTCATGGTGAAGTTCAAGTGGATTCTGGATGAAACAGCACATTCAAAGTGTTGGTAATTACAAAGGGAAAGGTACCCTCAGGACTCGAGCTCCGAACAGAGACTGCCGGGGTAAGGGGTGAAACATGGGGTGGTGGCAAAGGGAACTTGAGCTTTACTGGCAGTGTTGGATTTCTCACCCAAAAGAAACAGACTGGAAACAAATACATAAATTGTAACCCATGGCTAATTCCAATGGTAACATTGTGGGTATGCATTCTGTTATTCTTCGTTATTTTCAATACTATTTCAACTTCGTTCTTTCTTCATTTATCTTGAGGGAGAGAGACAGAGAGTGAGCGCACATGCATGAGGGAGGGGCAGAGAGGGACACAGAGAGAATCCTAAGCAAGCTCCGCACCGTCAGCACAGAGCCTGATGCGGGGCTCAAACCCACAAACATGAGATCACGACCTGAGCCGAAATCAAGAGTTGGACACTCAGCCAACCGAGCCACCAATGTGCCTCAGAACTATTTCAGCTTTGAAATGCACATACTTCCCCCTAACATTGGACACAACTTAGAAAACTACTGCTGTGCCCTCTTTGTACAGGGAAGCAAACTGAGGCTTAGAAAGACAAGGGGACCTAGTTAAAGGCCATGCCAGGGCCAGGATACACGTGATCAAGGCCGGGTCTGGGTGTTTTGCTACTCGAGTCCCCTCCCGACTACACAGAAGGGCTGTGTCTGCATCTCACAGCTCTCTAGGGTGGGCTCATAAAACCCCACAGATGCCCCGGAGACTCAGGCTGGCTCCTCCCAGGGCTGGGAATGGAAGAGTTGGCCACACATATGCAATTCTGGAATGTTTCTGCGTCTAGGATCTGGCAAGAGAAGACTCGCTTTTCCAAAGGGGGAGGACGGGCAATTCTGGAGACACAGTGGCTAATCACACCGAGGCAGGCAGACAGAGACAGGGAGTGCCAGAGGAGATAACAGAGGTGATGATGGGCAGGCGTACCTCACATCTGGCTAGTGCTGAGACATCCAGGGACCATGTTTCGATTAAAGTATAAAAGCGGTGGGCACCTGGTTGGCTTAGTTGGAAGAGCGTATGACTCTTTATCTCAGGGTCGTGAGTTCGAGCCCCATGTTGGGTATAGAGATTACTTACATAAAACTTAAAAAAGGGGGGGGGGGCACCTGGGTGGCTCAGTCGGTTAAGCGTCCAACTTCGGTCCAGGTCATGATTTCACAGTTCATGAGTTCGAGCCCCACGTTGGGCTCTGTGCTGTCAGCTCGGAGCCTGGAGCCTGCTTCGGATTCTGTGTCTCCCTCTGTCTCTCTCTCTGCCCCTCCCCAGCTCATGCTCACACTCTGTCTCTGTCAAAAAATAAACTTAAAAAAAAATTTTTTTAAATGTGTGTGTGTGTGTGCGCGCGCGCGCGCGCTGGGAGAATATGGTAATTAATCTTAGGGGTCAGCTTGACTGGGCCACGAGGTTAACTGGGCAAACATTATTCTGGGTGTTTCTGCAAGGGTATTTTTGGATGAGATTAACATTTACACCAGTAGACCGACTAAAGCAGATTGCCCTAATGTCGGTGGGCCTTACCCAATCAGTTGAAGGCTTGGAGAGCCCAAAAGGGCTCACCCTCCTCCAAGAAAAAAAGAATTTCTCTTGCCTGACTGCCTCTGAATTGGGACATTGGCTTATTCTTGCCTTCAGACTCAAACATCAGCTTTTCTTGGGTCTCCAGTCTGCCAGCCTTTGGATGGGAATTACATCATTGGCTTCCCTGGGTCTCCAGCTCGCCAACTCACCCTGCAGATCTTGGGACTTGTGAACCTCCATAATCATACGGGCCAATTCCTTATAATAAATCCCTTTGTA